ATAATATTATCGATTTTTATATAGAAAAAGGAATTCTAAAAACTTTTTGCACCGACTACGTATTTCATTCGACTTCTCGCGGAATCGATAGAACGTTCCCTTTTTTCCGTGACTGGGAGTGTTACCACCTACGACCCATTCTCGTCGTCGAACAAAGTGATAACAGCGAATGTGTTACACGATAAAGCGGAACCAGGTACTTCCTACATGTAATTGCTTAACTCTGACAAGAACAATTGTATATTGCCCAAATCCGGCTGCACTATCACATATTTGTTTTTATTCAAAAATAAAGTACAACGCACTTTTAGATTACAAATCCTGTTACACATATCATTCACCTAAGTTTCAGTAGATTGTTAATAAAATGTACTTTAATTTTCCTTTAGTCTACGAGGTCTTTTTAACGCTAAAACTACCAGACGAATCAAAATGGCTTATTTCAAGATTCTTATTTCACAATTATTAAAATGATACAAATATTTTTACGATAAATTTCAAAATAAATTTGTGTATTTCTGCAAGTGTAACAATAAGAAGCGCTTCAAATCTCAAGAAATGTTACTCTTCTATATTTTATATCAAATTATAAGTAATTCCCTTTTATTGTTCGGTAGATTATCTTTTGGCAAATTATCTCAGTTATAAACAAAAAATAATTTTCTTAGTATTCAACAAGGGGTAATATTAGTAACTCAACTATCCCCTTTATTTTTCATATTACATTAATTACATAATATATTCCCATTCTGCCTTCACATTTACTTCATCAAACTCATCCAATCAACGAAGCATAATACATCGTTTATTAGAATATCTTGAAAATATGTAGCAACACGCCTCAGTTGCTCCGGAAGGCTCGCGAGACTCAGGTTACTTCAGAGCCACCTCGACATTAATCCTATAGTCGGAAATTTTTACGACTTAGTGATTTTTAATCAAACCTCGACTCACGTTTCTTTCTTACACGGTCGCGCCGCGTCGCCGACTTTTTTCCGTCCTCGATTATCCTGGATTCACCTTCTGCATGCACCGGTTCCCATAATCCGAAATTACGAGTACCCTCGTTGCGATGCACGTATGCATTACGTGCATGCATAATGTGCACGTCGAAGACGAACCGCTGTGATCCGAACCTATTCCCCCTGTGAACGCGCGAGCGTTTTCAACGTTCATTACGTGTTCGTGACTGCGATGCTCGGAAAAAAAGTCGGAAAAAAACCGGGCCGAGCATGTGTTTAACCGTGACGAACCTCATTCTTTTCTAATTAAAACGTCAAACGAGATAAGTGGGCAATTCGCATGAAATAATCTGTTATGCAGATAGACTTTCAGCGCTGACAAGGGAGCCTTTCCGATTTTACGGAAACTCCTCGGTATCAGCGGAGAACATTTGAATAATGCTTTCTTTAACACGTTGATTACTAGGTATCGAAGTCATTTGTTTGATGGAATGAGCAGTGGTCAAAGGAAATTTACTAAATATGTCAATGTGAAAATGAAGTTTTCGGAGTGGGTAATTAGCGAATTCGATTAACACTTAATCAACCTAATGGGGAGATTTACCATTTTTTTTTAGCGACGAATTAACTATTTATTTTTTTCTTTTGTTGTTTAGTAAGTTTTGAACTGGGGATATTTACAATTCAATGAATGTTTTTCTTGCCTTGGTGAAACAATTATTACCAGTAAGGTTGTGGAACGAATCAATTTGTATATTGAATTTAATAATCATTATTTGGTAAACGCTTATGTCGATTCTAATTGACATAATTACAGGAATATATATCATAATAGGCGATTTTTAAATCCCTAATTTCCAAGATCTGAACGAACAAACATACATTTTTCTAAGGACAATAAAATATAACGTACAATAAATATACGTTAGAATCTAAACTTTATTATATGATAACAGATTTACTTTTAAATTTAAATTTTGTAAAAAAATATCGATTTGAATATATCCTAACATCACAGTAGAAGGATTAAAGAAAAATTTTTCACTGTTTTTCTTTGTATAAATATGTTCAAAATATTTAAGAATCCACATTTTCGAACGTAACATTCGGATATCGTATTTTAACACCAAACATACCTGCACTTTAACTGTTATATTTTTACGAAAGTGGTATAGGTGATTGCTAATTTAATACGGAAACAATGCACAAAACAACTTTTGGATGATAAGAAAAATATCATATATTTTCACTTGTTTTTAACAAGAACGGAAAACTATAGATTTATTTTCTAATTTAAAAGTATCGGTCGTTTAACCGGACGTAATACATTTAATGTTGAATAGAATACTTCGTATGCATGTATTCGAAAATTTACGGTTCCATCAAGCGTCCCACGAAAAAGAGAAAATCTAATCGAGCGTCGATTCTTTGTTATCGGTAAATTTGCATTTATACGACGGACCACAGCCAGGAACGTGAAATAGCGAGTTAACGCTAAAAGTTGTTAACACCGGAGAGCATAAAGATCGATTGTTACGAACGTTTATTGAATAGATCGTCAATTTAACGAGGTACTAACGTTATTTAGATAGAGGCCGCAATACACGGAACAACTTAAATTACAACGTCCATGTGAGAGGGGATAGTGTACGAAGGAAGAAATTAACTTATCTATTACTAGCGCAGTAAACTATTCGCGGCTATCTCAATTGAGCCAGTCGTTATCAATCGAGTTAGCAATTTACTGCTAACATTATTCGAGAGGTATGAATGACCATGTGAATGTCGCGTATCAGGTATGACGATTGGACGGGTAACAGAAATGTATAACGAATGTCCCTTTCCATGCAATAACCGATATTTCCAGCATGTTTCACGATGAAAATAAACTAATAGATAAAGTCTGGTATCTTGCAGTGAATACAATAGTATGTATTCTGCATAACACTATTAACCTTTTCGTCTTGAATGGTACACATAGGTACCACGAACATTCTAACACTAAAACTTACAGACTCGTTAAAATGACCCATTCCTGATGTCTTCTTTCTGCAATTATTGAAAAGATAATAGATGTTCCTCTGAAAAATGATTTAAAAAATTGATTTGACAGTATGGAAACTGAATTGTAAATCAATTAAAGTCTCAATAGATGCACTTTTGGAGCTTCTTTTCGTAGTTTTAGTATTAAACTATCGGAAAGCTAGAAAACATCATAAAGATAAAGGAAAATTGTACCATACGGGGATCTTTGCTTATAGCTGACAGCTTAAGTATTAATCAGCTGGCAAGACATGTGTTTTGGTTGAATAGAGCGCAGCCATAAGTTTTTTTTCATAAAATTTATATTAAAAAAATAAAATATATTCAGGGACGAAGGAATTAAAAGGTTGCGCGCTATAGACACTTCACATTTACGGATTTCGCGTTAATTTTGACCGCTTTCGTATTTTTTATGTTGATTCAACTTCTTCCTCTATTTGTACTATTATTTTTCAGGACTTCTAATCGCTGTATAGAAAGTCCTATTGTGTTAATACTAAGTTTACGGAAATTATTGTACGGTTTATTTTATTCGCCCTAGAAAAATTAGTGTACGGCCGTTTAGATCTTGAAAATTGGATGTTTTAAAATGTACTAATAGGAAACATGTTTGCGTAATTGTGTGAGATATCTCGTAGTTGACAGTAAATGGATTAACATTGTTTAATCAATTAAAATGCAAACTCTTAAATAGTTTGCTACAAAGATTTTCCTTATGTACTAAATGGTTCATTTCATTTATATTTTAATAATAATACTGGAAATAATAAAAATATTTAAATGTGCAAAATTGGCAGGATACTTTGTACGTACAATTTTAAACATTTCATTTCTTATTCACGTTTTAGTTACATATATTTATATATATTCTCCTCTTATGAAAAATCTATAAATTATATTCAATAAATTATATTTTTTAATCAATAATAAAAAATTGCGGAAAAGAATAAATAAGATAGCATAAAAAATTAACAAAATCAGTTATGTAAATTTGCTACTAAATTAAACAAAAAGTAAAAAATGAATCAAGGCACGTAAAAATGATTTCTTACGAGCAGTTATAGCAGATATATCATGATTCTCGTATTTCAGACATATTTAATTTATGCTGACGCCAGTCTCGGCTTATCACAAAAAATAAAACTACTTTTCACAACGGTGTGGCGCCACTCTACTTAAAATACAGTAAAAATTATTATTATAATAATAAAGACAATGAATAGAATTCGCACAGAGTACAAGCGGTGAATCATGGGGTCAACGAGAGTGATCTTTTTCATTGAACTGTGTGATTGGGTCGACTAACAGTATCGCTTACGTTTGACGCAAATTGATCACGGAAGATTCAGTGACAATTGACAAGAGCGTGCGTGCAACTTTCGTCAGTGTATTGATGAAACAATTGTTCTATTTAATTTGAAAGTCGATTCTTTATGAATAACTTTTTTATTATCTAATACTTAATAATAAATGTTTAAACCTGGTGTTAATACAGTAGGACTCCTTATAACGCGATTAAAAAATTTGCCGAAAAATAACATATATATATAGACACTAAGAAAAAATATGAAACCTAATGTTTCAATAAGATATAATAAACTAAATAATGTTATTAGAATCCATTATTAAAATATATAAAATTTTAAATTTCAAACTTATAAATACTTATTTTCAATAAAATAATTTTAATACAGTTACAAATTTAAATTTGGTTTAAACGTGTATTGAAAAATGTTGAGTGATAAATTTTATCACTTAGTACCTGTCAATCCAGGTAACAATATACAAGTATTAATCGATAAATGAATGATTTATATTGAATATACATCTATTAATTAATTTTTTATTAATGTAGTTAAACGTATTCGAAGGAATCAGATCTACATTTTATGTTTATGTTAATGTTATATGTGTGTCTTTAAGAAAAACATTAAAGAACAGTTTTTTGTTAACTTTTTTAAACGCACATATAATGCTAATGTATTCGATCCATACTATGAATGCAAAAAAAGACTTAAACCTTGAGATTTTGCAATGTCTTTCCATTATACAAGTCGTATATTTCAATACAATTATGCTTTGTCTTCTCACGTTGGTAAAACGGAACCACTGATCTTTTGATTCGCGGACCGGTCAAATAGCTGATTCATCGTCTTCCATCACGAGAAATACTGACGCAATATCTGCTTACCGAGGTCACCTCTTAAGTCGACTAATAGGCAACTGAAATTAATTAAGATCAGAGGAAGGATAAAAAGTATACGATAGTGAACCACTTTAACGCGAGCTGCTCTGTTTTGCGGATCAACTAGGATCAGGAAATTAAACGAGAATTATACTTGCCCGTAATAACATCCTTTATACCTTTACCCGCTTATCTATGCCGATCTGATTTGATTTTGATTGAAAGATCTGAATTCATGGGGTGTACATAACACGTCGTTTCTTTCTCTTCAGTTATTTTCAATCAACATTTTTATCGTAATATTGAAACGTGCTTGGTAAATTACTTCTTCAAGATCTGTAAGAATTTGTAGTCTACACAGTATAATTATCGTCGCTGTGAACCACTGTTAGGTGTCAGTTAATTAGAATTTGTAATTTCATTGATCAATTTACACTTACCATTATAAGATATCAGGTATAAACAATCGTGATTGATTTCTGAAAAATTGAATCTTCATTCAATTGAAAATGATCAAAAACGATCAAAAACGATCAAAACTGTAAATTTTGATTAGAAATATTATTTATCAATTTTCAATCAATACATAATATGCATGATTATAAATTTTACAGGTTAAAATTGTTTTAATTATAAAATTATAATTATAAAATTTAATTAATAATAAAATTAATGGGATTTTATAATTATATATCCTAATTGTCACCTTTAATCGTGAAATGCATTAAATGTTGCTTGGTACTTGTCAAATTAGTTTTCATATGCTATCCATTTAATGATCGAACTGTTTTTAACACTAACTTTACAGATATTTATTGTATGGTTTAACCTATCGTTCCTAAAAAAATTAGTGTTATTTAGATTTTGGAAATTGGAGGTTGAAAAATAGATAATTAGGATACATATTCCACCAATCAAAATCGATATAAACATTTTCCAATCAATGTTTATCAAATCCAATATGCGTCAAATTGACACGTTATGTAAACCTAGTGTTAACACATTTGTGACCACTGACGTGAGTTCACGTGTTTCCAAATAATCATTTTTGTCCTTGTTTCGTCAAAAAATTGTGACAGTTAGCTTAAGATTCAAAATTTTGAATATTACAAAAGCGAAAAATTTGCCTATCGGGAATGTATTATTAATGAAACAAACTCAATGTCGGAATATTTAATTATTGTCATACATTTGTAACCGAATTTACTTAAAAATCTAAACAACATTTAATACAATAACAAGACGTATCGGCACATAATAAACCATAATGTTTGTTTTATGATATAATAGCAAATCAGTTTTTATTTAAACTAACGCAACTACTATAATACGCAAACACGACGTCATTACGGTACAGAAGCTCGGGGCGTAATGAGAACTACTCACATTAACCTTTTAGCTGCGGCGGGATTAGCCTTGAAGCTATACATCTGTACGGCAAGGTTTGACGCGGTCTGCATATCATAAATGTAGCACTGCGATTTGAGACTGATAGGATTTTTCACTGTGCAATTACGTTAAATTAGACTATAATGTGCACAGCTATCGATGGTAGTGGAAGAATTGAGCCGCTATGTTGAGTCCACAGATGGCTGTCATTGTCAATTTTATTCTTAATACTCCTCCTCTTTAATACACTAGACCAAATTCATACTGGACATCGAACTCGCATTGAACGTGTTACGAGCCGAGCACTAGCGAGGTAATTGTGTAATCGAGGATTGTTGGCAGCAGGGGAATCGAAGATGAGCCAATGTCTCTTTCACTACTGGGTACTTCGATTGGAAGTAGGGAATGATTTTGTCTCGTAAGACTTCAACCCTTTGTGGTACAATTTAATAATGAAAAATTGTGCCTTAGAGAAGCATTTTATTTTTATTAAAGAAAACAACATGCTTTATTACATCAGTCATAAATTTTGTTAATTAGAAGTATATTATTGACCGGTGTTCACGCTCAATCTAGCAAGGCACTACTAATTATTACGGCAATTTATTCTCAATTAGAAACTGTATAAATACTGTGCATGGAAAAATATGTTACCTGTAATCTTACTCGCTTGACGAGTGTGCCTCGTCATTGTACGGTTTGGCATGAAAAACTAATGACGAGCTAGTTTCGTTACTTTACTGCAAGTTGTTAAAAAATGAATACGGTACACTTTGGGCAACAAAAGCGTACCGTTGTGGCAATGTACTGTAATTTCAAAAGGATATGGCCATTAAAGAAGTTTGAACTCAAAATAGAGGAAAACACTTACAATATATTTTGAATTAAAATGATGTAGTTACTATTGTAACATGTGTTGCGTCGCAGACTGTAAGTCAAGTTCTCTCGGTTTTGACGCACTGAAAAATGCAGGGGTAGTTCTAACAGTAATTATACGTATTGCTTAGATTACGTTTGAAAGAGACTATGAACCCGATCTCACAATGTATCTCTCGTTTTGACTTGACTCGAAATAAACCCGATGATGAGCAAGTTAGTGGCCTCTATATACCCGAAGAACGGACTAAAAATGGTAGTGGGGATATGTGTACGCGCGGGCTATATTTCCCAGCTGGTGAACCCCCGCCAGGGAGTTAGGGCATTTTGAATATACAAACGAACTCCCCTGGAGCAGCATGCAGCTTCCAGAGGAATGTATGAAACGTTGGAAATCTAGTTAGGAATCGAGAGGGTCCCAGGCAATAAATAACATCTTGAGGGCCGGGAAAGTATGCGAGGTCGATCGGCGTGACGACACTGTGCAGATACAATGCCCTTCGTCAACGCTATCAATGCTGGTCAAAGGCCTGCAGATGTTGGAGTTGTAATGAGGGATAAAGAGATGAGGATATATGCTTATCCTGTCGACGTTCCCGGGGAAAGCTAGCGATCTCGCGAGGCTGGGGATCGATACACAAAAGATCGATCCTCCTCAAAAAGGAGCGAGGGCGAGGACTCCGTGCATTCTTGTAATTATACGAGTCCTCGCGTCTATACGTGAAACACACGACGTTGTAAATATTGGCGTAAAAATATATACATTGAGAACTATGCAGTGGGTCTCTTCGGCTCAAACAAAACAAATTCATACATCGAATTTCACCGAACGAAACGAAACGAAAACACTCAACAAACGTAGTCGTGAAAGAAATCATGGAGTAACGGGTGGGTTAATGGTCATTCGGAGAAGCCGTGGCCGCTTTCCACTGTAACAAAGAGCTACGCAATAGTAAAACAAGGCGAACCACAGAAAAGTGTCCGTATAATGTACGATCGGGCGCACGACAGGTGGTCGCGTTTATTACACTATCGTGCTCGGTACACGCACACCCCCGGCCCCCATACATATGCATACGCGTAGCACCGCTCGTCGGTTGACAAGCGACAAGGGAATGCCCAGCCGTATAAGTGCGTAATACGACACGTGAAATCGTTTCCATGTATTGAATTACCAGGAATTGGAAGGAAAGTTCCCGCGAGACCACAAGGTGCAACACGAAGGGATGTTGAACCAGTCGTTCTAACCGTTAATGAAACAAAAGTTTCCTTAAACCCTTTCACGGCAGAAGAAAATGACGAACACGAAGGAACGAAGAATATCAACATGCCTGGTACGATACAAAGTGTACACACACCTTAGATTTATGGAATCGAAACTCTTTGATCGAGTGCAGTGCTCGCAGTTCAGTGGTAAGAGGAAATAAAAGATAATACTGGTCGCTCATTTATAACTGGACTACGGACATTTATCAAAAATTAATGAAGCGTTTGTGTTTAAGCTTGTAAACTTTATGAGTTTCACTTTTGTTTCGATTATGAGAAATGAATTTTTTATTTGAATTTTTGGAGTCTAATCTTCGAATATTGATATTTGCATAAGGATTTTTAGTCTGTTTGATATGTTACCATTTTTTTTCAATTATAAAGTGAAATTATTTAATCAATGTAAATTGCGAAAGTAATGTAAAATAATATAACCTACTAATATGAAAACGAACTTTTATATCTTTAATCAAATTACGTATGGTTTTTATAATTCTTGATGAGAATGATGAATTCTTAAAACCTTGGATCGTTTTCAAGTTTCCGATTTATTATACAAGTGATCAAATATTTCTATGATTTACATTTTATAAATTATATACTAACATTTAATTTATATATAATTTTGAATTTTGAATGATGTGTTTATATATATATTAAATTACTTTGTAATTATTTATTAATTATTATTATATAAATAAGAAATAAACACATCATTCAAAATTCAAAATTATTGTCTAACCATGAAAACAACACCAGGAAAAATTAATTAAAACTATACAAAAAATGATTATACATAACCTAAATGTAACTGAATAAGCTATAAAAAAGAGAAAGCGTTAATGGAACATTTATGACAAAAGAATTTGATGAAAATTAATTTTTTACGGCGTCCACTGATAAGTATCACCTAACGTTAGAACCATAACGCTCTGAAGACATTTTGCTCCTTGTCCATTTGATATGGTGATAGTTTATAGACGATGTTTCATAGCCGCGGGTAAGCTCGTTAAGTTCCGTAGAGCGGAAAGCGAGAGATGCTCCTCGTCGTCGAACGATATTAGGTATTACATAGACCAAAGCTCATTATCGCGTCAAAATATCGCGTGGCGGAGCAATCTGCTTTGCAGTGAACCAGCGCACACGACGGGATCGTTGATTAATCGCGTGTCAATTTGTCGGTAACGATGACCGAACTGCTTTTCCTGAATGCTTATCGAACGGTAGTTTTGCGGGAAATTTTAGACGCTTACGTAAATTTATAGATTAATCGTTTAAGCATTGAATGTATAATGATACTGATAATTCGCCTTTATCGTGTCCACATTGCACACGCACGATGAGAACAAAATATACGATTCGAAGCATTTGAACAATATATTTCTCAGTTATTGGAAAGTATATAATGAGAATAAAAGAAAGGAACATTTTTATTTTTTATTTAAAGTATCAGTATCTTCTTTGAATAGATTGATGGTAAGGAAGAAAATTGTTTATAAACGATGCTAATTATTAAATAGTAAATTCTATGGTGTACATAGAATAAGAAAAAGAAATATGAAATGTACACTATTAACCCCTTGCCTTATAATAACATGTCAGACTCGTGCTTATCTCGTCAGACATTTTGAATTTGAATTAAATATTATTCTTCTGTTATCAATTATTATATTTTAAAGCTGACGTAGGTATAAAATATACCTAGAATTTTTCTCCTTCTCAATAAATTATTAATGGCGAAGTAGTTTTATTGATTATAATTGAGAAAGAAATCGTAGAGCAAGGGGTTAAACATTGAAAGAATATTCTTGAACTATTAAAGAGCATATGACAACAACAAAGAAAAAAGATGCATAATTTGAATTCAATGTACATATTACTATTTGGTGCATATGAATTAATATTTGTTAAAGGTATAGTTTCAAACACAATAAATGATCATTCTAAATGTCACAATAAAATACATCAAACTGTATTATCATTGTCTATCATTTTATTTTACAGCACAAATCGAGAAACTTTTGAAAGATTGCAAATATTAGTATTGACTTAAAATGTCAAAACGTTCTCCAAACGTTATCGACAGTATCGATTATCTAGATCTCAGTCGAGACTACCTTTTAACAATACAACGGCCGTTCCGTTGAGAAGTGTTTCTTATTAACTGGACCGCAAATACCGAATGCTCATAAAACGATTGCTAACTTACTCGAACACAGACGTTTGGTAATAATTTAAATAATACTTCGTATATATATATATATATATATATATATATATATATGTGACGTGTTCTGGGTAGGTGTCACGCAGTGTAATAATATCAATAAAGTCCCTTATCCGTGAGCAATTTTAATTGATATGTCAAGGTGACAAGTGGCTAATGTGTTGCACCACTGGCTCGAAAGACATTTTACACACGATAAATTTCGATTACCTAACGTCAAGGAAAAAAGAGGGTAGCACTCAGCATACCTCATTTGCAAATTAACAGGTTCAAAATATAATATTTTCTTACCGATTATGGTGAATGATACTTGCGCATTAATTTTTATTACTCTTCCCCCTGATTTCGATAAACTTTGAAAGAATGGCCTCGAAAGTCAAAGAACAAATGTAGTTCATTGGAGATAATAAAAACTGGAAGAATATTTCTTGTAATTAATTATTCTGGATAAAAAATCGACATTCGCTTAGGGTTGGACATTATTTATACTACAGTCGCATGCTTTATTCATTTAATTTTTTCGTGAATAATTTTTATTTTTATTTGTTACATTTTTATTTATTTAAATTAATTGTTTATACATTATGTATCATTTATTAGATTTACGTCGTCCCTAAGTACGCAACACGGTAGTCAATTATTTTTAACGAATATTTCTTGCTCCAGGTGTTTAGTTTCAACCGAATTAGTCTGAAAGTTACTCGAATAACGACTTAGATAGCAATACATTAATATAGAATTTGAGAAATCTACGTGTTATTTATTTTTTTTAAATATAACTTAAATATTACTTTTCTATTATCAATCGTTAACGTTTAGAATAAACGCAGACATGGAATAAGCATCAAGCTTTTGTCACGAGCCTGACACTATATTTTACGTCAAAGACTTCATATCTGATAGTTACTTTTGTACTGCTGTCTTTATATGAACAAGACTCACCCAT